GCGGCGCCCCCTCTGTGCTCCCCCCCCCCCCCCCCCGCTCACACATGCAGAGTGTCCAAACATTCCTGCTTCCTGCTCTGTGCTATCATTTAAGTAGTTTACCACAGCGAAGACACGGCATCATTAAAGCGTGACACAAAGAAGGTGCTTGTTTGGCTCAACATGGGAGAACCATCGCATTTGTACGAATGCCAAGAAAAAAAATAAGTGAACCATTTTTATAGCTATTTTAGTGTGCTTGGTTGATCAATTTGCCCGTCCAATGTGTGAACACGTGATTTTGAGTTCTCGCTATTGTTGCAGTAAATCCGCATGCAGTGTGCGGGTGAAGCTTATTTTTAAATTCATCCCTCATGTCTGGACACACAAGCAAAATGCAGTACTTGCAAGAGTGTGCTCGGAGTGTGATTTATCGTTCTCTCAGTGTTCAAGAAACAAATAAGAGGCTAAGTTTGGAAATGTGTCCAAATCGTGTTCACACCTGGTGCTTGGAGGCGGCAGCAGAACAGCCTGCGAGGGGGCCGCAGGCCCTGGAGCCACGATGGCAGCGGTGGCCATTGTCACGGGGAAGGGACTGGCGGGGTGGACTGCCCCTCCTTGAGGCAGCTGAGACTGGACCACAGGCATGGGGGCGATCTGGATGATCTAAATAAATAAACAAAGTGAGCGCTCCGCATTGTGAGCTAAAAAAAAAAATTCTTAATAATTGCGCAATGCTGCGAACCTTGCTTCCTGCCTGAGCGCCGTTCTGGACAGGAAGAGGCGGGGCCACAAGAGGAAACTGCTGGGCAGGACCCGGCGCGGTGCGTACCGTCGCCATGGGGACAACCATTTTACCCTGGAGCACCGGGGACTGTGTTTGCACTGAGCGGCGGAAGAATGAATATATGTTGAATCGCTGCAGTCTAACTGAAAATTTGACTCAACTGTCAGGACGTGCGTACGGATTTTCACAGCTAAAGCGGGGTACACTTGTACTGATTTGATTTAATGTGAGAGAGCCCACACCTGCAATGGTGTCAAAGGGCATCCAGACTCCCAGAAAAAAAAGGAGACGGTTGTTGCCTAAATGGCAATCATTCTCTGTCACAAATACAAAGTTTGTGGCTTGGCCCAACTCACTGTTGACCACACGCACAAAGACTTGCAATCATCAATCTTGACCACAATGACAACTCTCGGATCCCAGTGTATTCCAAGCAGAAAGGGGAGGGGAAAAAAATCGCTCACAACACTTGAACAAAAATCACACCACAGGATGATTGCTGAGGACAATCTTGAAGGGGCGTCAGTTCTTTACTGACTTTGAGCAGAAGGGAAGGAAAATGCTCAAATTTGATCCAATCGTCGGAATGGACGTAGCCCACCTAACCTAGTCCATAACTTCCATTGATATGAAAGTCATCACAAAGCTCAAGAAAAATCCAAATACACTGATGGATGATTGTTAGCGCTCACCTCTTGTACCTGGACTGGACGAATAACACACGATCGAACTGTGACTCTGTTGCTTCCCATTGGCCAAGGGCACGTGCGTGGGCGGCGCCGCGGGCAGGTTGAAGATACTGGTCGGCTGACAGAGCTGCTGCGGCGGGCTCTTGGGGTTGGCGGGGAGGGTGGGGAGGATGTACTGCACCTGCGTGATGGCCTTACCCCCCGGGGGCGCAAGGGAGGGAGCAGGGAGGAATTGGGGCTGGAGCAGGGGCAGAGGCAGGGGTCCGTTGGAGTGGCTGTTGGAGGACGGGGGCTGAGGCTGTGGAGACGGGCTGATGAGCTGCACGGCGGGCTGCCCCGGCAGAGCGCCCCCGAGGACTAAATTAGTCACCACCCCGGCACCCACGGGGCCAGGCGGCGGGGTGGAGGAGTAGCCGCTCGGCAAGGCCGTTGCGCTGCTTCCCGGGGCCGAGCCGATCAGGAGTTGCGGCTGTTGGAGCGTCAGGGGCTTCCTCTCGGGTGGGTGCGGGCTGGACGAGGCTCCGCCGTCTCGAGGTTTGCTGACGATGGGGAGCGGCGTGCTGATGACAGGGCGCATCACGTTGGTCAACACGGTGGAGGCCACCCGCACGGCGCCGATGCCGAGGTGGGAAGGCGACGCGGGGATAACCGACTGGCCTGAGGAAAGCGAGAGGGAGAGAGGGGAGGCGTGCACCGCTCCCGTTTCACCCCCGAAAGAGTCGTTCACGTCTCCTTCTCCCCTCTTGCGGGGGTCGGAAAACCCCCCTGACCTCCCATCTTCGTAGCGCTTGCCGGCCGGATAGGAAGACAGGGACGCGCTCCGCCCGTGATGCAAGGAAGAGGAGGCCGCCGTGGAGCAGATGACTGGGGCGAAGACTCGCTGGGAAGCAAAGCAGACCGAGATTGATCGCATCCTGTCATCTGCATGACGTCAATTTGCAAACTTCACTCTTTCTGAGACAGAAACGTCTACAATCGGAAGCAAGGCATCCCGTTGAAACAAACGGAAACGGAATTCATCCCTTTCGGCCCTGGAATAAAGTTTGATTTACCATGCTTTTCATGCGTGTGAAATTGGTCTGAATGATTGGGAAAAATAATCTCATATTTGAAGTAAGATTTCATATGGGATGACTTTTTTCAAGGCCCTTTCAAAGTAATGTGCATTAAAAATAAACTTTATCAGATGCATTATACAGAAATGTTTTGGTGCTGTGGGGTAGATTTAGGCTAAAACAAAGGCAAATGAACTGTGAATTAATAGGAAAGACTGTGTGGACTTCAATTCGAGTTGACGACTCCCAAAAACCGTTTGACATGCCGTCTTTTCAGTGTTCACTACTACAACTTCACCAAATGCTACCAAACAAGTGTGGCGCGAACATAAATCACTTTTCACGTTTCATGAAACGATAACATGTAAACATGAGACGCCCACCGAGCTTTCTGCATCGATGCCATGACTGCAAATTGTCGTAGAGCATTCAACAAGCGAGGTTTCACTGCATTCAGAACCAACCCGTCGGGAGACGTCCGCTTACCTTCTGAGCGCTCTCGTCACCGGAACCTCTCTCGCTGTCGCTATCAGTCACCCGCTCCTTGCACTTGAGGTCAATGGAGCTGCTTGGATAAGGATCCTCTGGAGAAGAACAAGCATCGCAGCTACACTTGACATTCAATGCCACAATGTCAGAACACATTCGTGTAAAGTAGGGACGGTCAATTCGTCAATTTTAGTGACCATGGGCTCAGAAAAGCGAGACACGGTGACAGTTTTTCCAAAAAGCGACTAGCAACCTTAATTCCTGCTAAATAACTAAAATAAAAATATGTTTGTGACAGAGTATCCGAAGTGTATATGTCATAACCCGACACAGTCATGAAACTGCCATTTTTTCGAGCCTTACTCTAGAGTAGCTGCAGGATGCAAGGTGCGACGGGCTCAAAAGTAAAACTTTGGTTGTGGTTTCTTACCGATGACGTCATCATCGCCCTCCTCCTCACAGATGACCATGCGCTCCTCGTCGCTGGTCATGTCCTCGCTGACGCCCCGCTGTGACTGTGACAGGGGTGGAGCGTGGCTGGAAAATTGGCCACCCCCATCTCCACACATCTTTTCCAAAAAAAAATAAATGGTAAAAATCACAAATTATCCGCGACTCTCCAACATGTCTCAAATGTTTTCGCTCTAAATTACAACCAAAGGTAAAATCCACATTATGCAAACTTTTTAGAGGAAATATCTCAAAAACCTGATGTGCTCGAAAAAACAGTAAAGACATGTTTTAGATTTCTGTCAAAAATATGTTTGGTGACACATAAAGCCTTCATTGATTGAAATTTGCTGTTGACTAATGTTAATTGTATGAAATTACATCAGATCAATTCATAATGTGCACACCTAATGTGCACATGGAGACTGGTGCACCAACAAAACATATAGAATCAATTCATTCCCACTCCTTGCTTCAGCGTTCAACCAATTAAAAGATGACCCGAACGACTATTTTTTTCTTTTTTTTAGAACAAACGGTATCTTAATATAGAATATAGATGTTCTTCTCTTGTTGAACTTTGACATTAATATCATAATATCGCAGCTTTGGTGTAAGATCAATCAATCAACCTGTTTTTTTTTTTTTTTTTTGTAGAGCGCTTTTCATACATGAGCATGTATGAAAAGTGCTTCACATAGTTAAAAATTGGTATTTTATGGGGGGCCTTTGACCAGCTTGCACTCACTCACCCACTTGAACGACATTTCTTAGCTCAACTGTGACCGAGGGATAAAAACGGGAATTTGCGTGCAACCTAATCTTCACCTGTGCCAGTTCTGCCAGGGCTTGTGTATTGCCTCTGTCGCCCCTCTCCATGCTGTGCACGGCACTTTGCGAGAAGGCTCTGGGACGCGTCAGCTGACTCATATGACCCTCAGAAGTCTGATTCCTCTCTGACATGCCCGCCAGACCCTGGCCCACCACCCCCTTCATCTCCGCAGAATGCAGCTCTACCGGGCAGAAGAACAAAAGGGGTGTTACGGGTAAAGCTCCGAGAGGCGTGTCTTTGGAGAGTAGCGCGAGACCAACCCGTGGACTCAGACATGCTCCTCTCACGGATGTCTTTGCCCCCGGGGACACCGCGACCTTCGGAGCTGGACTTCTTCCTGTCTTTGTTGCACCACTTCCAGTCTGGGTGAGCCTTAAAGTGGGCTTCTTTTACCTGCACAGACATTTTAAGAAAAATGTACTTTAGAATGTCTCGGATATAAATACAGTGGTGCCTGGGCCTTGAGATACGAGTGACTTCATGTGTGAACGTACACAGAATACAAGCCGCCGTTTGGACATTTTTATTTATTTTTTTGCTTTGGCTTTGGCTTGCAAAGTATAGATGACAGTTGCACAGGGTTTTTTTCCTGGGTTCAAAATTGCGTTGCCGCCGCCTCCAGCTAATTTTGTGCCGCCCCCAGCCAGACCGATTGATATCGCTCAACACGGCGTAAAGCTCCAGCTGTGCTGATTGACGGATTGGTGTCCCTCTGCACCCCTTCATATTTTCACTTTGTTGCAGTGTCGCGCCACAATGGAGGCGCGATATCAAAGCAGTTTACTGTAATTTTATTTTTTTAAAGTAATAACAATTACACTTTGTATATTTAAAAAAAAATGGGGTCAGTGTACCTGGAAGGCCAGGTCGTGGTACTTTTGTTTCTCTTTCGGTCCGAGGGCATACCACCACTCGCCCAGGATCTTGCTGACGGTCCTGTTATCCTGGTTGGGGTGGCGTTGATGAACCAACGCCCGATGGCGCTTGCTGAAAATCATAAAGGCGTTCATCGGTCGCCGAATGTGGTCCTTCTCCCGCTAAGAATGACAAACAGAAATCATGTTTAACCCTTTCACGTACCTTGTATCCTGATAACATGATAAGCTGTCCACTGTAGTGACCGCTGTCCCTGAAAGGGTTAACTATGAAAGACTCCAATCCAATACTACACATTGGAAACTCGAATGTTGAAGGATAAGTCAAACAATTTGACCCCAAAAATATGCTTCAAAAACACCCGTCATGCATCAAGTCAGGCAAGTGTGTCACTCTCCACTGCATTAAGAACAGAGAAAAGGCCTACCTTTCCGGGGCTGCTCTTGTCCCCATCTTTGGGCAGCGCACCGAGGGATTGGGTACGTCGCTTCACAGGAGACGTAGAGAGGGGCTGCTCAGGCACAACGCCTGGAAGGAAGCTACAGGACGCAAAAGCTCAAGTTATTTCAAGTCAACTGTCACGTAGAGACACGCACCGGCCTTCTATTAGAATCCATTTACCGGTAAATATCTTTCAAGACGAAGAGGGTATTTTAGAGTAAACATGTTCTACTTCACGAGCTCATCTCCAATGAGGCTGCTGCCTTTCATGTGGTCATAGTGAGCAGTGAATTCAGAAAAGCTTTTGTTCCGTCTGCTTTGTTCTGGTATAGAGCGCTTCCGATGCCCAAATGAGTGCAAAAATTACACTCACTCTCTGCATGTGTGGGTACAAAATCGACCAAAGCAAGAACATCCACAAAGGCTAAAGGGGTGCACAGCTGAATTACAGCAATTTTGACCGTCATGTGTGGGATTGCTCAAATTTGATCTGTAAAATGTGAATAAAACATTGTGTGTGTTTACTGGGACAAATGCAAACGCGACAAAAGAAGACGTACGGGTCATCCACATCGCTTTCCGTGTCACTGTCGGGCTTCTCCCTTTCCGTGTCCGCTTTCTCCTTCTCCGATTCCTCGGGTGCGGTCACGTTCCGAGTCGGGGGACCCCTCTCCAAAATCTGAGGGGCCTCTGCGGGCTTGGGGGGTGGTCCCGCCCCCGTCTGACATTCTGAGAAAAATGACATACATGAAACATTCATGGCAAATTCACTCCGGAGTATAAATCGCCCCAGTCAGCCAGAATGCATCATGAACAAGAAAAAAAACACATGTATAATTAACCATGGACGATAAGTTAGATTCTTTTTCAGTCTCAGTTTTTGTCAAACAAATGTTTGACAAAAACAAAAACAAATGTTTTACAAAAACTGAGACCAAGAGCAGTAGCGCACAAACTCACACTGAAAATCTGAAAATCTCTGCTTCCGAATCGTGTTGACAGCAGTGAACAAATTACGGTTGCACTTGAAACGTCCACTTCTAGCGACGGAAAAGTTTTCCTTTTGGGTTTAAAATGGCTTCCCTTAATGAGAATACTGTGCCCAATGGTAGAATTCTGGTAAATTATTGGACCTTCTTGTGCTGTAAATTGTAAATCCTTGTTGTGGCGGAAATGGACCAAAACTATTTGCTAACCACCAAAAGAAAGTGGAAAAACAAATGGAAGAAGAAGACAAAGTCACAACTAATGTGGACTATCTCCCCGCAGCTAGCTCGCTAATTCAGCATGCGGCATCCACAAAACTACTTGTGGCCACAATGCAATGCGGGATTCCATTTCAGGGAAGCCATTTTAAACTATAAGTGAAAACTTGACTGAAGTTGGGGTTGACATTTGAAATAAGTACATTCTTTCATACGGCAAAATAAGCGACCTCAATGTGTTCTTAGCTAATTCATTGAAATTTCACTAGATAATGTTCAACTATGGGGTGGCGATGCACATTTAAGTTTGCATCTGACTGGTCAAATTCAGATAAATGGAGATCATTCCAGAACAAAATTATTGCATGTTTGAGATATGCATACTGCATGGGTCATTATTGCGATATTGATATTTTTTCGATATATTGTGAGGCCCTAGTTAAAAGCATAATTTTCAAACCCAAACAGAACTCGTTCGCTGCCATCAACACAAGGGAACGGGCATTGGGTGTCAGTCTGATTCTAATTTTAATATACTGTATGCAAGTTCCACCTGAGAATAAGTCACATGAATGGCCAAACTATGAAAAAAAAAAAGTATGATTTATTATCCGAAAAATATGGTACATGCGGAGGAAACAAAAGTCTCAAAATGGGCATACCTGTCTTTGGAGTGGTTGCGTGGGGGTGATTGACAGGGTGTTGACCCTCCCCCGGTTGGGAGGCGGCATCTGATTGGGTGGGTGCCAGGAAGGGCACTAAAGAATGCCAGGGGAAAACTGGAACGGACCGGGGCTCGACATTTGTCCACACTGTGGAGAGAAGACATGGGTTGTACAAACTGAGGGTTGAGGGGTGCACAAATGGATCCTGGGAGAGTTTTTGTTGGGTCATCCATCAACTGTCAATTTTGCTTTTTTGAAATATCCTGCACAGAATTTAAGGTGACCTCGACTTACAAGCAAGTTTTTTGAGATACTACCCAACTTAATCTATTTTTTTTGTGTTGCGTAACAAGGAAAAAAAATGTTGAGTTAAGCACTAGTCAGTGCTATTTCACAACAAATAGCCGATGACGTACAATTCATCCATTTTCAACACCGCTGATCCTGAACAGGGTCGCGGGGAGATGCTTGAGCCTATCCCATCTTACTTCGGGCGTAAGGCAGGCTACCCCCTGAACTGGTCGCCAGTAAGTCGCAGAGCACTCGTGTACAATTCACAAAAAATAAATAAATAAATAAAATTGGGGTAGGTACTTGCATCATTATTGCCACTGCCATTTGATGTTTATTGTAAAACCAACAAGGAAGAACTACACATTGTGCATTTAAGCTCAACATGTCTGCTCGCTTGATGTTAAGACACAATGCAAAGCACCACAAACAGGCTAACAAAACGAGCATCAATGCTGCGGTATTATACCCCTTTAAGTGATGTACTTGAACACAAACGGTGCGGCAATACATATAGACAGAGATAATACTCACAGGTATATATTCTCCATCCTCAGAAAAAAAAAAGACTAATATTGCAGCATCTTACTGAGTTTCGAAGTTACTTTCTTCTTCATGCATTTGTTATGTATTATACTACACCCTGGTGGCGATGCATGCACACCAGAAAACAAAGCACAATGCCAACGGGGCAATGAGGCTTCAAGTCATGATGCACAAACTGTTTAATTCTTTTCAATGTATTTCATTATTTCGGTGCTACAGCTAGCCATTGTGTTAATAAATCAATCTGTACATTTTTTTTATGATTAATCGATTAATCAGATTTTAAAACATGTTTTGATTTCCATCCCTTTATTCAAAAACAAGACATTATTTCAAAATTGACAGTGCAAAAAAAGCACAAATAAATGGATTATAATTAATGTACTGCTTCATGTCCAAAAAAAAAAAAAAAATGGCAAAAATGTTGATCCTTGCTTTCCAGAGTAAAAGCATATGTTTGATGTCTTATTTTGATGTATCACAAGAATCAGTCTGATTTCATGGTGGACTACAGAAATGTGAGAATATTTGCTGCTGACAGGCTGATATTCTGAGGATTAGGACAATTTTCAGTTAAACATGATCTCTAAAAGAGTAATCAATTATGTAAATAGTTTGATTAATATGATGAAATATTAGTCATCAATTCATTGTTGTTCATTGCTATTAATAATTTTAATCCTGCATGTTTTTAATAATGTACAATGTATTTTTGTGCCTAAGAAAAAGCATTCCGGACGTTTTTGTTGGTGTATTTTGGTGCTGAAAATTATTAATTGCATTAACAGTCATTTAGATAATGGAATATGCTTTTGAGATGTGTTTTGAGTTATCATTACGGTCATGCAAAATAAATAAATAAATACTCGTGACTGGAGGCACCACTATCTACCATCTTATGGGTGTTGGGGAGCAACCATATTTGGAATTTGGGTCTTGAGATCATAAAGTACAAGCTGTTCTCTGAAATCTGATTCAAAAGCAGCAGGCCTTTTTAAATTTGATTACCACAGTTTTATTTCCTTGTTTGGGATAAGAGAGAATGCCAAATGATGGAAATTATCCTTTTTTGGCATAATGAAGCCAGAAATATAAACACATACAGGCACAACTTCCCAAATTTGGTTCCTTCCCCTAGGACATAAACCTAAGGTAAATATCACAAATACAGAAATTATTTCTGTCGGTTATTATGGCAAAGATGGATGAAAGAGCTTTTTTTTTTTAAAGAAACTGATGCTGCATTATGTCGTGGGACTGTAGCAAATTTCAATTTGCAGGAAAAATTGGGGGGAATTCACAGCTGATACACTATCCTACTAAATTCAATAAATAGCAGTCAAACAATGATGAATAACAGGGACTAACCAAACATGCTTAATCCTTGGCGAAGATACTGACGATTCTCTGATGAGAACATGGTGACGTTAAAATTGATGACTGTTATCCCAAATAAAAATCAAAATTAAAAAACGTGTGTTGGTTTGCTCTTTTTCTACAGTTTTGTCTCTTATACAAGAGACGGTGACTTGGTCCAAAATGTGGATCTGCTATTGATGGGAGGATTCTGTTTGTATCCGTGTCATCCTTCACAGTACGGCTGAGTCGAAGTGTAGAGGAATTGTTTGGCTTCCAATGTGAAAGAAACGCAGTAGAAACGTTCCAATGTGACAAAAACAAAGTTGATTGTGGTCCAAAGATTGGGTTCCCTCGTTGGCTTTGGTCCAATTACTCCTGTTGCCCTCCCGGTTGTTTGTTTACATTAGTGCTGCGGCGTGGCGCTGAAGGGGTTAACGAGGCCTCGGATGGATCCACGGCCTGAATTACAACATCTATGCGGCCACGATGCAGTCTCCCCAGGCCATGTCACGACTCACTCTGCGCAAAACCGGAGCTCCTTAGACACGGCGAAGCTGCTTAAGGTTAATTCAAATGCAAAACTGTAGATAGAAGCTCAGCGTCCAGTGAGGTTTGACTCTTCTTAGGGGGTTACGCATACATGCCCCGGGCGGGCACCAGAGCCCGAACCAACGCGGCGCCCGAATCGGGAGTTAGTCCTCGGGCACGCCCCTGGTCGCGCACACGCCGCACAGACAGACCCCAAAACGACGCGCGTGTTCTCATGTCTCGGTTACAAAGGCGTACTGGAACCACGCACGGCTCCAATTCCACTGTCCCTTTGCCAGCTACTATCCGCTGGGCTCGTCGGAGCCCATTGAGGCGACGGAATGGAACGCTCTATTCCATCGAAACTACAGCGAAGAATGAGCGCGCCCAGTACGATCTTGTGCTGGTGTGACTACCTGTTTGCAAGGTACGGTCAGATGTCGCTGACTGGCGCATTCATCCATCACAACCTGACCAATGTAGCCAGCACTACCGCCGCCCCCGATACAAGACGACAACCGAGGTTACGATTCCCGTGAGCGGGCATACAAAAAACGCCACCAACCGCCCTTTCCTTCTTCTTCCTCTTCTTCCCCCTCCTCCTCGTCGGATTTAAAGCGTTACGGCCGTGGAAGCCGAGAAGCAAGTAGTGGAGAGCGCCGCCGTCTACACGCAGGTTAGCTAGCCGCTTCTCGCGGACCACACCGCAGGCACACGTCGTCCACTTCGGGGCGGGTTTTACGGTCCACCAAGGTGTACCCTCGGCCGAGGTAACGCGCTTATTTTTGCACCGGCCCTCCGTTCTGTTCTCTTTTTTCCCCTCCCCTCCGTCCTCTTCTTGTTGTAAACTAGGTTGCTTTGCTTGCTTGCTTGGCTCGCTTGCATTGCCTCCCCTCCCCTTCTTGCTCCTGTCAACCTCGCCCAGCCTTTGTCCCACCCACCTCCGCCAATCCGGTCGGCTATTGGCTAAAGCGGCCCCCAGTCATGTGCCCGCCGTCCTTTCTGATTGGGCCGAACGTGCACTGGAATGCCAGTCATATGCAAATATCATCCGGTTCCAAAATTATTTGCGCATTGTCGATGACCTAATCTAAACAGTGTTTTGAACAAAAAAAAAAAAAAAACACGGCCTCGACAATACAACATGTATATTTACATTTTATTACAGTAACACTGACTGTTCGAATGAAGCTCTCTCTCTCTCGAGTAGTACAGTTTCTTTCGTTTACACCGCCCCTCCCAACGGCTCGTACCATTGGTGCAAACTGTCGTAGTCGGTTTGACAGACATGGAAGGCGACCAATTGATCACCGACATCGGATGTAGGCCAACCAATGGGCTTATAAGTAGTTTTAAAGGATCCCGCCCAATTTACAAACGCTCCAATTTGTGTTCCTGATGAGAGGCGCTCGTGAGCTCTGGAGCGTCATCAGATTTTGCAATATGATTTATGTTAATGAGGCCTTTGGAGTATATTTCATGTTTAAGATAATTTATCAGCGTTGTAGATTACTAATCACACCCCTTCCAAAAAAAAAAAAAACTGTACGAGAGTATGAGAGATGATTGATATCAATCTCGAAAACTAATACTTTTCAAACCATTGTGCACAGATGGACACTTCCAAAACAGACTGTGAAGCGTTCTGATGCAACATGCTTGCACAAGGGGTGGGAGAGGGGAAAAGAGGAGGCCGCTTGAAAGAGAAGGAAACGGCTGAAAAGGTCCATGAGTGGTGGGTAAAAATAGACAGAGTAATTTTCACCAGGGGAGGCATGGACGGGGGAGGAGGAGAGAAAAGAACTTGTGAAAAACACAAGTTCTCTCAAACAGAGGAAGGCTCGTCGGCCGCAGACAAAGGGAAAAAACACTCAAAAGTGTCGTGAGAACCGAACCTGGACATTGCGAACGATCGCTCGATGTGTTTCTCAAGCAAGATACATGAGTCATGCTGAGCTAGCACATCCAGACAAATACAATACTGGGAGGGGTCTCCATTACGGTCAGCCCATCAAGAGCTTGAGATATGACCAGAGATACTGGGCGAGACTCTGGCAGGTTGCCCTCACTCATGAATACACTTAACAACCTCAGCACCAAAGTGTGCACCTCCATTTTGTCATTAAGATTCAGACTTTTTTAATGAAGAAATGAAGTCTGATGTTTATAAAGCATTGTTTTGCAATGCTGTTGACAAAAACGGTCACACGGGTTCTTCCTTCGTCCATTTTTCCACCCCAACGGTTTTGTGGCAATCAGTTAAAGCGGGCTCCACACACATCAACGGGGCAAAATTTAAGCATTTTCCCTCCCTTGCAATCTAAGTCAGCAAAAGCCGAATGATCACGTGTCGAAAATATGACCCTGAGGTGTAGCCTGTGGTGTGGGCTGGGGGCATATTACATTGTTACATTTTGGGGATT